GTCTTTCCTTTTCTGTGCTCTGTTCTTTGGAAGCAAGTCCCTAAGGGTAATCTGCCTTTAAAGCACAGGAAGGACTGGAGAGCCATCTCTGGAGGAGGGTTTGGGAGCAGGGGTGCTATCTACATATATTTGGGATTTTTCTCTGAGATTTGTTAAATTATGACTGCTTTTTTTTTTTTTTTTTAATCTTAAACTTGTGCTTCTGGCTAAATCTCACTTCGTCGTGATATATTATGCTGGATTCCATGAACTTTTATTATTTTTTTAAAGGAATTTTGTGTCTTTCTTATGAAGAATATTGGTTTGTAATTTCTTAGCATTTTTGTGCCATTTGATTGCTCCATCTTTCCACCTGGTAAGTTTTTACTATTTAAAAAAATATTTATTTTCTTTATTTTGGAGAGAGAGTAAACAAGGGAGGAGGGGGGGGGAGAGAGAGAGAGAGAGAGAGAGAGAGAGAGAGAGAGAGAGAGAGAGAATGAATGAATATGAATCTTAAGCAGATTCTTTGCTGCATATGGAGCCTGACTAAGGGCTTGATCTCAGGGTCCTGAGATCATGACCTGGCCTGAAATCAAGAGGCTGATGCTTAACAGATTGAGCCACCCAGGTGCCCCTAAATTTTCACTATTGATAGAAGTAGTATTTGTCTTTGATTTGTATTTCATGATATAATAAGGATTTTTTTAAATTTTTATTTATTTATGATAGTCACACACACACAGAGAGAGAGAGAGGCAGAGACACAGGCAGAGGGAGAAGCAGGCTACATGCACCGGGAGCCCGACGTGGGACTCGATCTCGGGTCTCCAGGATCGCGCCCTGGGCCAAAGGCTGGCACCAAACCGCTGCACCACCCAGGGATCCCTATTTCATGATATAATAAAGAATTATGCTCTGTTAAATATTTTGTAAGGATTAAAAACATTTGGGGGATCCCTGGGTTGCGCAGCGGTTTGGCGCCTGCCTTTGGCCTAGGGCGTGATCCTGGAGACCCCGGATCGAATCCCACGTCAGGCTCCCGGTGCATGGAGCCTGCTTCTCCCTCTGCCTCTGCCTCTGTCTCTCTCTCTCTGTCTCTCTCTCTCTCTCTCTCTCTCTCTCTCTCTGTGTGTGTGTGTGTGACTATCATAAATAAAAAAAAATAAAAAAAAAAACATTTGCGAAGTTTTTAAAAGCCATGTTCTCTGTAGTTCCCCCCACTTCCTGTTACAGAGAGCCACCTGTTTTTTCCTCTCGAGTTTGAGTTCAAATATTGAATTTTCTTTCAAAACGTCAAGATCACAGGCTCATTTCAGAATTAGCTGGAGAACTTAAAAAAAATATCCAGGGTCTGGGTCTTGCTTCCCCTTAGACTTTCTAATTCTTTATGTATACCTTTAACCCTTGAACAATGCTAGGGTTAGGGGTTCTGGTCCCCACTCAGTTGAGAATCTATGTATAACTTTTAACTCGCCCAGAACTTAACCACTAAGAGCTTAATGTTGACCAGGAGCCTTACTGATAACAGAAATACTCTATTAACACCTACTTTATATGTTATGTGTAGTATATACTGTATTCTTAAAGTAAGCTAGAGTAAAAAATGTTAAGAAAGTGATAAGAAAATACATTTATTTAAAAAAAAGAAAATACATTTATTTATCAAAAAGATTCACATATAAGTGGACCTGTGCGTTTCCAACCTGTGTTCAGGGGTCAGCTGTAAGTGATAAGATTTCTAAGAGTTATCTATTTTTAAAGAACTTTCTTGATAATTTTCCTATGTACCTTCTGTTAAGAGTTACAATTAGATCTCTCAGGTTTTCAAGATGATTTAAGTAGCTAAAAATCAGACCTTTGAGTTTTTTTTTGGCAAAGCTTAATAATGAGATCACAAAAGACTCACGTATTTCAGTTCTCACACAATAGAATCTTGGGATAATTTTTATGTCACTTGACACTGCCCTTCATTGGAGTTTTACGTTTTTTGTTTTTTTTTTTTTGGAGTTTTACTTGTAAATAGAATACCAGATAGTATTTGTTAAAGACTGTGGAGAAGGTGAGCAGTTTGGTGGATAGATTATTTTATTTGATTCTGTAAATCATGTGGACAAAAGAGATGCCTTTTTTGAGCCCAGTATTTAGAATAAGAGGTGGTAACCAGTGCCTGAAGGCATGAATCTCGCTCAGAGAAGGTTGTTTAGTAGTGTAGGCTATAGTTGAGGCAGGTAAGGCCTGGCCACGCTTCAGTGTTAGGTCAGGGCTTCATGTAGTTCACGCTTAACTGACTGTGAGACTTGGACCAGAAGCTTGCATTCTAGGAATTCCATTTGCTCAAAAAACTACCTTATAATGCTGTCCTTTCGTAGTCCTACCTTCCTTCCACTTCTAATCCCTGGCAACCAGTTTGGTGTTTTGTCTTGGAGAACATCCTGGGAATGGACTCGTTGCAGTGTATTATCATCTTGTGTGGCTTTTGTGATTTCACCCCACATGTGTATCAATAGCTCATTCCTTGTTATTGCTTATGAACATTGGGTGGACCCAGTTTATCCATTCACTTACTGTTGATCCAGTTTTGGTGATCCAAAAGAGAACAGTAAATATTCTCCAACAAGCTTTTTTTTTTTTTTTTTAAGATTTTATTTATTTATTCATGAGAGACACAGCCAGAGACATAGGCAGAGGGAGAAGCAGGCTCTCTGCAGGGAGCCCGATTTGGGACTCCATCCTAGAATTCTGGGATCACACCCTGGAGCCAAAGACAGACACTCAGCCACTGAGCCACCCAGGCGTCCCTCTGCGACAGATTTTTTTACATGAACATAAATGATCATGTCTTGTGGATAAATATTTAGGAATGGGATTGCTGGGTCATAGACTGGATTTGTTTGTTTTTGGTCGGTTATAGTATTTGTTTCAAAGAAACAATTTTCACCTCCTTCTTGTCTTCTTTAGATTTCTAGATGGAGATTTGGATGCAGAATAAACTTTATTAATTGCAGTCTTGTCATGTTTTATGTTAAACTTGCTTGGAAAGTCTTTGAACTGAAATTACGGTTAATGGTTGAATTAGAAATGACCACTGTAAGAAATAGAATCTTTGCTTTATTGGTAGCCATTTCTTTTTCTCCTTCGTGGCCTTGCTACTCAAAGTCTGGAGCTTGTTAGAAATGCAGAGTCTCGGGCCCCACTAGAGACCTGTAGAATCACAATTTGCATTTTAACAGCATCCCCAGTGATGAATATAAACATGAAATTTGAGAAGCACTGTTCTGGAGCATTATGGAGGTGGAAAAGAGTACTTTGTAAATGAGTTTACCTTTGTTTGATTTGAGTGTAGTACAACAGAAACCTAGCTGGGTCCATCATATATGTTACCCATTTTGGTTTCAGATATTCAGTAAGACAGAAATAATGATCTCAAACCAACAAAATGCCAAGACTTTGGTACTTTAAAATTCTATGGTCTACTAAAGTCAGAATACTGACAGGTGGAGGTATCATAGACATTAGGCTTAAAATCTAGTTTACATCAATCATTTTATCTTTAGGCATTTGAACACCTGAAGTTATTAAAGACTTGAAGTATATAGCAATGAGTATGTGCATTTGTAGTTGATCTCTTTGCACAGAAAATGTTGGGAAAAGAATACAAAACAATTTTATCTTTGGTTTATTTAAATTTTTTCTTGTGCATTTTCTAATAAAGTAGTTCATGTTTGTTTCTTTTAAGAGTAAAGGACAGGGGAACCCCGGGTGGCGCAGTGGTTTAGCGCCTGCCTTTGGCCCAGGGCGCGATCCTGGAGACCCGGGATCGAATCCCATGTCGGGCTCCTGGTGCATGGAGCCTGCTTCTCCCTCTGCCTGTGTCTCTGCCTCTCTCTCTCTCTCTCTCTCTCTCTCTCTCTCTCTCTCTCTCTGTGACTATCATAAAAAAAAAAAAGAGTAAAGGACATTCAAAATTATGAATCACGAGAATAAAGGGATGAATTCTGTTTTCTTTATGTTTACAAAAAGTATTGAAGTGAACATGCCACTCAGTCCCTATCTTATCTCACAGGAGGTCATTGAGACCTAGTAAGGTGAAAAGTGGTGAGATCAAAAGGAAAGTTAATGGTAGAGTAAGAATTGTCGGTGAAGAAATTGCTGTTAGTTGGGACTAGGTTAGGTGATATTTTTGTAGGAATGCTGGCAGAATATAAGATGAAAGCTGGTTTTAGCGTGACTGAAAGAAAAAAAAAAACTTTGCTATTGCAGTAGTCAGAGCCAGAGGCAGTGATGCACAAACTCTGGACAGTAGAATAAAGTAGAGCGTCAGGGTGAATGAGGAAAGAGTTTGGAGGCTGAAAAGACCAACCAACCTAACAGCAGACTTGGAGTGCTTGCCTAGAGTACAAGTCATGGTAGGTGAGGGCAGGAGCTCCTGAAGTGTTGAGCCTGTGTGACAGGAAGGAGTATACTCTCATTGAATGTAAGTCACACATTCCATTTTTGCTGATAACTCATGGAACTTCAGGGTTAGTTTAATGAATGTTTTGAATTTTGCTGGAAATTGGATCAGACTTGAGGCCAGCAGGGACTTTTGAAATTCATGTTTCCTGGGGCTCCTGGCAGGCTCAGTTGGTAGAGCTTCACCTGTTGATCTCTGGGTCATGAGTTAGAGCCCCAGGTTGAGTATGGTGCTTACTTGAAAAAAATTTTTAAATAGAAAAAAAAATTATGTTTCTTCTCTCAGAAACATAAGTAACAACAGTATATATTGTATATTAATTACAAGCAGGAGTGGAACTTTTTGTTCCTAAAAAACTTTTTTTTTAATGTTTGAGATGATTATTTGTTCCTGGAACAGTTTAGTATTTCACATGGCCTTGTCATGGAACATTTTACAGTATCTTTTCACCTTAAATATAAAGAGCCTTGTTATAGATAGAAAAAACATTCTTCAGTATTTCATTCAAAATAATGTGAATGAACTCAGCCTCCCTCCCTTTTTGTTTTGTGTATCTGCATTGTAGGGCAGTATGGAAACTTTGGAACTACAGAAGGACATAAAAGAAGAATCAGATGAAGAAGATGATGATGATGAAGAATCTGGACGATTACGTTTCAAAACTGAGAGGAAAGAAGGAACAATTATTAGGCTCTCAGATGTAACTAGAGAGAGAAGGAACATTCCAGAAACTTTGGGTAACTTTTTTTGCCTGTCTCCCATCCTTCTTCACTCCATTTTAACTTCCTCCACGGTACTATTATGATTAATCAAATAGGTAGAAACAGTTCTACTTCATAGATTATTGTGTGTGCTGTCCAGAGAGTGGATGGTCTTTGCCAGGTTAGAGCTGAGTTATGGTGCTGTGAAAGTCATTCTATAAAAATGACTGTCTTCTGGATTAAAAATATCAATAAAATACTTGATTGCTCATTTTTTTAAATAGTTTTTCTTTTGGAGTTGATGGCCTAGACCTATTCTCATGCATACTGTGCAGGTCCTGGCTGGCTCTAGGAAGGTGGTGTGGGGATGGTACAGGGTCATTTGACCCCTCTTGAGACACACAAGGTTGCCGGGGCTAAGTCTAGACCAGACTGTTTGTGTTTTGTACTTATTATTGTCATTATAACCATCTTTTTTGTCTTTTCTTTCCTGTATGTTATTCTCCATGTTTCATGAGATAAGGTGATTTGTTTATAGACATAATCAATTGAACATCTTTCTGAGTAAACCCTGCTTTTAAAGATCTACAGCAGGCTGTTGCTGATCAGCAGAGAGCCCTTTTCAGTATTAACCTAATCCTACCCCTCAACGAGTTTTTTTTTCCCAGCATCTATTACAAAGAATAAAGTGGTTTTCAAATTGGAGCAAGCAACAGAATCCCCTAGAAGACTTATTAAAACACAGATTCCCAGACCCACTCCCAGCTCTACTGATTCAGTGGGTTTAGGCTGGTACCCAAGAAAGTTGGATTTCTCTTGAGTTGCCAGGTGATGCTATTCTTGCTGCTCTGGAACCTGTACCTTGAGAACCACTAGGATATTATACTGTATTCTAAGGAAGAGCGTGGAAGGGTGGAAGGACAGAGGGTTTACCCACGTACGAGTCTTGGTGGAAATAAAAATAAACTCCTCAGTCATAACGTTTATTTTTTAAACTATTATTTATAGCCCCTTTCATTTGGAAACATGAGCACATGTCTATAAGTGGTAGGTGTGAATCTACCTGAGGACACCAGGCTCCCAGGGTATTCACGTTAACAGTAGTGAGACAGTCTTACCATGTTATTTATTAGGTGTGATTTATGGAGAGATTGTTAGACTCTTGGCAGTCTCTACTTCTTAGCCCTTTGATTTCCTCCTCCTCTGCCTTTTGACCCAAAAGTTTCCTGGACTTTTCTCAACTTATGCTATAAAGTTGCCAGTTGATCTAAAGCAGGACAACCTAAGTTTCTAAGAAAGAGGATCTGAAGTTGGCCTTGGGTAAAAGGAGATGAAGCAAAAGTCTTAAAATAGGAGGATAAGCGAAAAACAAAATGTGTCCTTCAGCAGGAGGACTTGGTAGCCTTACACACTGGAGCAGACATCTCAGGCTTGGGCTAGAGTAAGATGAACAAGGGCGAGGGGTGTTCCTGGCTGAGCCCTGGAGGGCAATGGGCAGCATCTTATTAGAGATGGCATAGGGTTGGGCTGGGGATGGATCATCACTTTTCTACAGTTTTGTAGTGGCTATGGTGTTATATAAGTTGGGGAACTTCATGTATCACATCATAGTAACTGGGATAGCTACAGGTTCTTAGAATGTGAGATCACTTGTCAAACACCAAGGGCTGTTCCCTCTGTAGCCAGCTCCCTGTAGGCTAGTGTGGAGGTTGCCTTTCCCTGAACCTCAATGCCTCTGCCAGCCTCCTGTCCTCAACCAGAGTTCTCTCTCTTTGCACTGTACCTGCCCCAGGCACTGATAGCATGTCTCGAGGTATCCATCCTGCTTGTGCTCATCATCTGTGTTGTTTTCATTCCTGCATCTCAGGACCTTTGCCTCCTTTCGCTCTTTTCGTGGTCATTTGTACCTCCTGAGAGAAGAGGTTGGAAGGGTTAGTGGTAGGTAAGCAGGAGCCTTTAAATACAGAGGGAGGAAAAAAAATACAGAGAGAGTCTGGAGTCCTTAGTGGTAGAGGGGCTGTAAACATAAAGAGTTTGGACATTTGCCATTCTTTTAAACATTAAAAAATAAATGCATTTGTGCAGATTTGGCTGGGTAGTAGGCCAAGTGAAAATGATGCTTAAATATATCTTTTTCTGCTCCATACATGTGGCCCCTGACATAAGCAGGCTTAGTGTTTGAAACATGAGTTTTCTGGTAACTCAAGTTAGGCTTATTCCCAGTACAAAATGGATTTTTCTGTCCATTTACAGATTGGTTTCCTAAAACAGTACAGTCTTATTAGCCTGATCCCACATCCACCCAACACCCCCTCTCCCCCGCACAGAAGGGTAATTTTACATATGAGATATATATATATATATATATATATATATATATATTTTTTTTTTTTTCTTTTTAACTTTAAAAGATTTTATTTGTTTATTCATGAGAGAGACAGAGAGAGGCAGAGACACAGGCTCCTCCCTTTGGGGAGCTTGATGTGGGACTTGATCCCAGGACCTGGGATCGCACCCTGAGCCAAAGGCAGATGCGTGACCACTGAACCACCCAGGTGCCCCCAAATGAAAAAAATAATTGATTGAGAAAGAGAAACTGTACATTATTTGGTAAACTAGAAATCTGCACAAGTTTTACCCTCTAATTTATTTGTGTTTCCTGGTGATGAGAGATACCAGTGTCAGGTCCTATATAGAAATAATTATATTTATTTGACTGTATAAGGCTGTTTACTCTTTGTAATGGGATTAAAATGTCTTGCTGCCAGAATCCATACATTGTCTCATGATATGTTTTTTGACAAATGATGTCTTTTAACATTTTGAATACAAATAAAAATTAACTTGTGATATCATTGATTAATATTGAGAACCTTCCACTCCTTAAAAAGAAGACTGAAATCATGATGCTCTGGCATCCCCGTTCTTGACCCTTTGGTCTGTTTGCAGGCAGTGAGTTCCCTTCAAAACTCAAAAGGATGTTGGGTCTCTCTCTCTCTCAGCCCTTCTTGCATTCAGATAGGGGACGCCATCATTAAATGGGGAGACCACAGATTCGTATATAGGACAGTCTGGCAGCTATAGACCCTAATACTGAGTCAGTGTGTATTTTGAATTCATATAGAATTTGGGGCTTTCAACCAGCATTCTGAGAACTAAGCCTTTCAGATAATGTGACTTTTTCCTCAGTTTTCCTGAGTATGGTACAAAACCACATGCTTAGCAGATAGATTCATGAATTATGTACAAACGATGCCGTGGGGTATAAGTGCTTGACTCTCTTGTGGATCCCAGCTGAGAAGGATTTCTAGAACATACATGTGTAAGGGAGTGATGTATTTTGAATCGAAATGTCAAAAGCCATCTCTAAAAAGTAGGTGTCAGTGACTGGTTTTTCTAAGGTCTCAGCACAGAAGTTCTGAGCTGCCAGTTCTTTGGCCCTGGGAGGTAGACCTGAGATTCTCTTTGAGAGCAGTACTAGCAGTACACGAAAGACTACATTTCTGTTAGTTAGGCCTTTTTAATCCATTAACCTATGAGTAAGCATCTAGATTTCATGATATTCTAGATTTCATTGGCCCATGTAGTATGTTAAATTGTATTTTATTGCTTTAGCCTAAAGAACATTCTTATTATATCCACATAATGTTCTCTTGAAATAATATCCTTAGTTAGTTTTAAGACCAAGGATCTGTGGGAAGAATATTTTCATCTAATAATAAACAGTTCAAGATTTGATGGTGCCAGCAATAGGATATTGCCTTCAGTTCACATAATGGTCCTTGTATTACAGGTGTTTAGAAATTACTTGATCCAAATTCTCTTGTAAAAAAAACTTCAGACTATCATTTGTTATTTTTATTTTGCCATATAAGCTGTGTATTTCATATTTATTCATTATGTATTAGTCCAACTAGTATAAAATCCTATGTATGCAAGTGTTTTTCTTAAGCACATTTTGGAAAAGGACAATGCGTTGTAAAACTTTGTTACATTGAGCTATATCTCTTTACTTTAGGATATGGACATAGTTCAGAAAACACTTAAGAGGAAATTAACATTTCAGTTGAAGTTACAAATGTAATTTCCATCCTGTCATATTTTGGTGACCTTTTGTGACAGCTTGTCTCAATTGGAGGAAAGCATTTTTACTTGCTGATTAAAGATGTCATTTGAAACCATTTTATTACTGGGGATAGTGAAATTAATCTTGACATTTAGAACCACTAGAAAAATAATTGCTGATTCACCGCATAAAATGTGTATGTGAACCCATCATGTAGTCAAGATTAGAGTAAAAGTCTGTGCTTGTTAAGAGGAGATTAAATTTTCTTTTGAATGGGGTCTAGATTTATTTGAAGGGGAGGGTAATACCACAGAAACAATATTAAGAAAATGAAATGTGGCTGAGAAATTTTGGAAGAGTTTGGAGATGATTATGGAATCCAAGGTGTAGGAGATAAACTGGTAATGTTTAAAATTTGCCCTTCACTGTGGAAGAGAGTATATGAATGCCTCTCAGGATTCAGTGAAACCTTCAGGAGGTATACACTTGCTAATATAAGATATCACAGTTCAGGCCATATTTTAAAGTGAAGGAACCGTATATGAATAAGTCAGCTTTTCTCTTTTAGGAATTGAGAATAATATGCCAACTGAAGCTGCTTAGGGCTGGAATCCGTGTTTTTGTATCCTTAAAGCAGTGGTCAGAGAGGTGAGCAGCTACTGGGTCGTCCTATAAAAGCGTTTGCATTAATGAGATTTTTTTCTTCTGCAACTTTGCTCTCATCTAACTTCCATTATCAGATTGCATGGGTGGAAGTCTTTTTCAGAGTAAAGGTTTATTTTGTTGTTGTTTTGATAAATCTGAAATAATATTAAATGATTTTTCCATTGTATGAAATTGATTTGAGTGATTTCATTAATAGTTTCATTTACATCAGAATAAGCAGGAATTTGTTTTCTTTATTCATTTTGAGTCTGTGTGTCACTGCATATCCATGCTGCTGGTACTGGTCCCACTGAGGACATTGTGCTGGTGTGGGCCCGGAGAGCCTGCTCCTGGCCTGTGCTGCATGCTGTCAGGGAGAAAGTGACTGCGGCGGCTTGACGGCAGTGATCGCTGGGCCCTGGCCCGCCTCCTTTTAGCTTCCCTCTGCACATTTGTGTGGTCTCAATTGAAAATACTTTGAAATTTGCTGAGGCTCCTGTGTTCCCTACGTGGTTCATGGGAGGAACGTGTCTTCATCCAGCGGGGGTCACAAACAGACCGGACGGCGAGGGTCGGCGGCTAGGCCCTGCTTGCTGCCACTAGTCATGTCCTGGGGGTGAGGCATTTGTTGTTTCATGGTGTCCTTATCATGTGTGCTTTCCTTGTTTTCTCCCTGTGAATCTAGTTTAGGCTGTTTGAAATATCTAACATGTATACCTCTTTTCAAATAGAGCTTTCAGCAGAAGCCAAAGCTGCGTTGCTTGAATTTGAAGAGCGAGAACGACAGCATAAGCAGGGGCGCTATGGTTCGAGGCGGGGAGGAAGGAGAGGAGGCTCGGTAGTGTGTCGTGGAATGGGAGACCAGAGGAGAGACAGTGGCGAGCGTGCAAGAATGAAAGATCACAGACCTGCTCTGCTCCCGACACAGCCTCCTGGCGTGGTAATGTTTACTTTTCTTGCGTTAGTCCAAGGCTTTAGAACAAATGAAAATGTACCCTTGTGGCTTTCATATTTGGTGTGGATATCCTATTCTGAAATTAAAATCTCGTAGTAGGAATAACGGCTGAAGTGTCTTCATAACATAACTTCATCTATCGTCTTATAAATTCAGTCCTCCTGGTATTTGTGTAGTAAAAAGAATTAGTATGCAGCTACTTATGGAGAAAGAAGTAACAGGACAAGAAGCACAAGGAGGAGCCTGGCTTCTGTCCTCTCCCTGCTTGTAGAGGGTTGTTGCTCCTGAGCATCCATGCTCAAAATGGTGCATACGTCTGTGTAGAACCTAGGCAGTATTGTTCACTTCATAAAAATAGTTTTCCCCTTTGTACTGTTTGCCAGAGTTTTCTCCCTTAAGTGTAGCAGTTTCTCTTAGAGTAACTATCATATCCTATTCGTAATCGTACACTTGGAACTTCAGCTCAATTTGCGTTTTCTGCGCATTTCAAAGATGAGATATTGTAGAAGCAGAGAAAGGAAGTATAGTGATTTTTATGTTATTTTAATTAGCTTTAGCATTTTATGGCTTTTTCCTTCAGAAGTTAATCTTTAAAGATAAATTTATTTAGTACAAATACATGTTCACTGTGTCTACCACATGTCCCTCGTACATTTTTATTTGAATTTAGGGGTAAGTCATGCTTTGCCTCTTTGTAGAAATGGTCAACGTTAGATGCATTCACTTGTGACCTGTAAGTAAGGTGCCTTACTGTTGTAACATGGGAATTCCAATTTTGAAGTCCAGGAAGGGGAGAGAAGTCGGTGGCTTAATTAACAATATAAAGAAGTTGATGATATTAATGATGCTGTTTGCTCATACAACTATTTTGTTTTGAAGCTTCTCAAACAGCAAAGGGGCTGGACCTTTAGTTCCTTCTTTCTCATCTCTGTTTTGTACCTTCGCTCCCAGCCTCTGAATGCCATGTATTGAGCAGCCATGGCCTCCTTGGGGAGGAGGGAGCAACCACACACGGAGACCTGTTTGTGTGTAATCATAACTCTGATCCTGGAAAGGGAACTTTATATCCACAAGGAGAGGAGGCATGCCCCGCTGGCCTCCCTGGAGAGGCTGGGCTGAGAGGAGCTGTGAGCCTTTGAATACTGTTAGCCAACTGGAAAACAGCCTGGGCCCCTGCTGGGTGTGTCCTGTCTCCAGAACTCTCATGACTGAGCTGGGCCCTGGAAGTAAGCCTGTGCTGAGACCTGCTCGGCCTGGTGGTGCTTTGGGCTGTAAGCTCTGTACTCACCTTTGCTAGTCATGGTCTTTTAAAATTTCATTTTCTTGGGAGGCCCGGAGCTGTTGGAGAGGAACATAACCTCGCTCCCATCCATGTCTGTCACGAACGCTCTGGATCCTGATTGCTCCCCACCGCAGAGCTCTTCAGAGTTCTGGGAAGAATCTTCTTCCTTATGTCTTTGTATCAGAACATGTTCTAGGTCAGTCCCTTGCCACCTGGCTGGCACCCCCTTCACCCCTTCTGAGGGTGCTCTCAGGATCGCTGCCTTCCCGGTCCGGTCGTCCCTGCTGTTCTTCCCTGATCCTCTCCTGCCTGGGGCTGGGCTGTGCTCTCCTTCTCTTCTTCAGCCGCTACCCTGGCAGCCCTCCTTTTGGTCAGAGCTCTCACTGGGCGGTGTCACCTTCCTGCCACCCGCCCTCTCTGTGCAAGTGTGAGTCTCCAGCCCTGACCCTGCTGATTCTGTGCTTTCTTGCTGCCCTTTGTGCCTCCACATGAGCACCTCACACCCCCGAACTCACCAGTTTACAGCACGTGATTTCCTTAGAACGCCTTGGTGCTCTTGAGTGGGTGGCCCTGCCCCGTGTTCACTGTCTGTTAGGTCCACGTTTGGCTCTGGTGACCGTCTGTCAGTCAGGGTACTCTCTGTGGGGGCTCAGTGGCGAGTGAGACAAGACCCCATGAGTTAGAATAGAGAACACACTGGATTCTGGGTGCATGGCTAGCAATGGATGGAGGAGGCTAGTCCTGGAATCTTTGGAAGAGTCTTCCCCGAGACCAAGACCATATTCAGTTTGCTTTCAGAATTCCATGGGTTTCTCTGAAATGTCTCGTTTCCTGTTGCTCTTTGTCCAGGCCTGGCTGTTTCTTCCATTCGACTTTTGCTGTGGCCTGCGGAGGGCTGTGTCACTCCCTAGTAACTCCGTCCACCACATTACATCACTGATTCCTCCTTATACACTCTGTGTGCTGTGGCGACAAGCCCTTCCCTCGGCACTGGCATTCAGAGGCCTCCATCATCTGGCATTCTTGTGGGAAGGTGGAGTCAGTGGCGTGGCGCTCCCTCTGCTACTTAGTTGTGGCCAGTCTGATGAGTGGCCACTAGCAGGACTTGTGGAGTCACCTGGAGTGGATTCTACTTGCAGCTCTTTCGCCGACCAACTGCTTGATTTGTAAAAGGACAGTGACGAGGACCCCCTGCAGCACACTGTCGGGAGGAAGCCCGTTCTTCCTGCTCTGACCTTTCCACAGGGGCTTAGGATGCGGGGTCAGCTCAGCACTCAGCAGCCACATCCTTCCCCTCAGGACTGTGTGACATACCCCCCCCCCCCACCCCTGACTGCATCAGTTGTCTGTTTTCCCATCCTTGCCTCTGCCCGTCTTCTGTCTCCATGGCTGTGGCCACACTGCTCTCCTGCTTCCCCCAGCAGGTGTGTCTCTTTGCCTGCTGCAGGCTGTTCCTTTCTTTTCCCTGTGTGACACATCTCTGCCTCCTCGTCTCTCCCACCCTCTTGGGGGAGTGAGGCTTTTTCTCATTCTCCATCCTCCTCTGAGGCCTCATTTCTGGCAGGCCACTTATGCACAGCCCCGTCTTTCTTCCCGGCTTTCTGGAGGAGGCGGGGAGGAGGAGCAAGACTGGCTAGCTGGAGGTGAGGGCAGCTTGGGCTCTGGCTGTAGCGCAGTGCTTGGCTCGCTCTGGGCAGGTTTATTGCCTGAACCAAAATGTTTTCTTTTGGAATCCATGCAAGTGATTTTAAGACTACCATTTTTTCCTCTTTGCCCTGAGATTGATCCACATCGTGAGGCAGCGGCCCTCACCGGGACAGGCAGTGCAGCTTTTTTGCTGTTTATGCAGGTGTCACTGAACTTACTTCTCCACTATCGCTCTTACTGTAACTAGTGTAAATCTGTAAGGCGTTAGCCTTCTTGTACTCTTCTTGCAAATGTTGATTTCTGTGAACTTTTCTCTCTCTTTTTTTTTGGGTGGTTTTTAGACGCACTCTCCAAGATTAATTCCTCCTCCGCAGCCTCAGCCACCACCTCCGCCGCCGCCACCGCCTCCGCAGCAGCAGCCTATCAGAAGTCTGTTCCAGCAGCAGCAACTGCAGCCTCTGCTCCCCCTGCAGCACCCGCACCATGCCTCCCCTCCTCAGGGAGTGCACATGCCCCCTCAGATAGAGGCCCCGAGGGTGATGATGACCCCTCCCCCCGTGACCCCACAGCAGCCCAAGAACATACACATAAACCCCCACTTCAAAGGGGCAGTGGTGACGCCCGTCCAAGGTACGTGTCTCTTTTGCTATGATAAAGTCACATGGTACCGTGGCCAGGTTCTCATGAGCAAGTCTGTAAGAACGACTTGACTTCTTTGGTTCCTTCCCCCACCAACTCCCTAATACATGCCAGCTTGATGGGCCAAACTTGATGTGGTGGAAAGTACTGAGCAAATTTTAAATTTCAAGGGCAGTGGAAGACATTGTGGAAATGCCTGAGTTTGTATTCTTCCTAAATAGCCTAGTGAGAATGTTTGCACAGTGAGTGTTCCACTCAGTATGCTCTAGTTAAGTGAATAACCTCTAATGTTATTACAGACCCATGTTATTGAGGCTAGGATACTACTTTTGATCAGTGGATATGGAGTGTGTGTGTCTTCATGAATTTGTTCAGTACACGTTGATGGAGATACTATATCTCTGGCATTTGAGATACATCACTGAAAAAAAAATAAAGCTTTCTGCAGTGGTGATCTTGCTTTCTAGCCAACAAAGATGGGCAGTGGGCCAGAACCATCACAGTAAGAACGTGTGCGGCGTGCTAGTGGACAGAGAATAGAGCAAGGGCCCAGGGTTGGCTGTGGCTGTAACTAGAGCCACAGGGGTAGGCTTTGTTGCAGAGGTCAGAGTTGAAAGAGGTCGGGGAGCCAGTGATGTTCGTGTTTCAGGGGAGAATATTCCAGGCGAGGGATCAGCAAGAAGAGAGGGTGGAACCATGCCTTGAGTGTTCCAGAAGCCAAAAAGAGATGATATGGCATAAGTGGAATGATGAAAGCAGAGAAGAACTGTGGGACCTGAGTCACATGAGACCTCAAACCAATCTAAGAGCTGTGGCTTTTACTCTGAGCACAATGGGCTGTGACTGGAGAGCAGGGGAGTGACCTGATTTAGTTTCTCTCTTGAAAGGGTCATTCTTGCTTCCCTGTTGGGAGTGGGCTGTATGAAGGTAAGGGTGGAAGCCGGTGTTCGGCAGGGGGAAGACTACACTAATGCGGGTAACACACGGTGGTGGCTCAGATTGGGGTGATGGCAGTGATGGTGGAAAGCCGTCAGATGCTGGATACAGTTAAGAACAGAGCCAGCAGGATTTGAGAATGGACTTGATGGGTGTGTGGAAGGGAGGAGGCAAAAATGATGCCAAGGGGGTCTTGAAGGATGGACTTGCCACCACTTGTGATGAGGGAGAGAAGGTTCTGAGGGGGGAAGGCCTGAAGTTGTGTTCTGGATGTGTTACATTTTAGATGTTAACTAGATCTGTGGGTGGACGTGTCCACTATACAGTTAGTAAGAGTTGGGTGGTTGGCACATAGGCAAGTGTAGAGCCTGCACCCAGTGAAAAGCCCAGGGGAAGGATGTTGAAGTGTGGCTTGGAACCTGCGGCTCCCCGATAGGACAGGCAGGGACCCTGCAGGGCGTAGGAAGGAGGAAGCTGAAAGAGTTGTGGGGGACAAGCAGCAGAGGAATGTGGCCTCTGCTGACAGGGCTGTGGAGTGGACTTGCAGGGGTCTTGGGGATTTTGACAGGGTGGTTGTGGTATCACCGTGAAGATGCCTGCCTCAGGCAGACCGGACAGAGATTAGGGGCATGGAAGTGGGAGGGTATTGCAACATTGCACTGACCGTCTCTGAAGATGTTTTGCTAAAACAGAAGTTGGATGGTAATTGGTAGGAGGAAATGGGCTTGAGAGAAAGTTTCTTATTTTCAGATGGGAAAACCAGCATCCAGTTGAGAAGGAAAGAAATCATGGATGCAGGCAAGGGGGAACTTGTCCTCACTGGGACCCGGCACCCATTGGCCTGGCTGCAGGCATGGCAGTGGGGGAGGACAGTGGAGTGGAGGGGTCTTGTTGCTCTCTCCTGGTATAGGTTGAAAGGAGATAAGAGCTGGGAAGTGGAGGGGAGGTTTTAGGAGGGGAGAGAAGGCATGGAGTCTTCTCCTAGGGGAGTAGAGGAGTGGATGTGCTGGCGGGGGATGGTGGGCAGTGTTGAAACTCACTTGAGCTTTGTGGTGGTGACCTTAGCGTCAGACCACAGCTTGATTGTGTGGCATGGACACAGTGTTGGGTTTGCCAGAGTCCAGGTGTTGACCAGGCAGTAGAGGGTGGCATTGTTTGTACGAGTGAAAAGAAGGTGCAGTCACTGTCTGGGAGAGAGTGAGGTGGTGAGGTCGAAGGTAGTGGTAAGAATGGGGCTGCATAGAGATTGCAGAAAGGTGGGTCATTGATGATGACCAGGTCTTGGATGCGGCTGCTGAGGGATGGAGGACAGTAGTCAGGGACCCAAGAGGCTGGGGACAGGAAGCATTGTTTCTGCCAAGACTAAAGACAGCTAGAGACCATGATGAGACAGGAGCCGAACTCTGGGACTTGAGAGCCGTGGTTGGTCCAGCAGACAGAAGCAGAGGGTAGGCATGACACATTTGATGATGTGAGAGCCAAAGCTGAGGTCTGAAACAGCACTGACAGCCATGAAGGACCCCTCCCTACCTGCAGAGCCAGCAGAAGAAGGCTGAGGGTAGAAAGCAGCTCCATCTTGGGGAGCGTTCAGGTTTCTCTTTGAGCAAGAAGGGGGTGGCTGATGCTGGACTCTGCTAATACTGAACTTGGAATCCTAAAGTTCCAGAAGTTGAGGAGAAGTCCGAGATTGAACTTGAAGTGTGGGAGGAGGCCAGTGGCCCGGAAGCATTATGAAATCATGCTGTGGCCTTGGAGCCACGTCTGTGATGGTGACAGTGGCAGGCTGACCTTGGGCATGGGGTGTGTGCTGCTATGGGAGACTGCTGCTGTTTTACACATCTGGGACGTAGAGGTAGAGTGGGTCCTTAACCCCCTGACTGAGCCCCCGCCTGGCCCCACCTTATACTGGAATCTCTTGGAATCACCCTCTGCCAGGGCTCTGTGCTCCCAAGCCAAGCTGTACGGCTGCTGCATGTAACTGCTGTTGTCCCTGTGACGTGTCTCCTGCAGCCACTGTGGGATGAACAGACCACCACACACATGTGTGAACAGGGAGGACAACCCAGCCCTTTCCACAGTGATTCCCAAGACAGGCAACTGCAGTCTCAGTAATTTGTCAGAATAATTTTACTGCAATCAGTGTCTGTTATTGTGTATGTCCTCATAAACATTGAATGGAAAACTGACAGTTGGTAAGGTGCACAGATTTTCTTTGGCCTAATAAAAACAAATAGTATTAGAAGTATGGAGTGAGAAAGCTCTGAGGAAACCCCAGGATGTCTTCCGGACATGAAAATGGTGTGCCATGCCAAGGAGTCGGCAACCTGACAGAATGCAGTCCTTCTACCTCAAAGCTCATCATTCAGTAAATATGAGATCAGCTTTCTGACCGTAGTTTTTATACTCTTAGAACCAGCTAAATGATTTTTCCACGTGAAGCCGGGTGGCTCAGCGGTTTATTGCAGCCTTGAGCCCAGGGTGGGATCCTGGAGACCCGGGATCAAGTCCCACATGGGGCTCCCTGCATGGAGCCTGCTTCTCCCTCTGCCTGTGTCTCTGCCTGTCTCTCTCTCTCTCTGTGTCTCTCATAAATAAATGAATAAAATTTTTTAAAAAGTAGTATCAGAGATAAATACCATACACACACACACACTTTATCAGAGACACTTTAATATTTTGCTTCAGATAAATTGATGAGCGCCCCACCCCCCAGTGCCTTTTAGGAGGCTTAAAGAATTGGAGACTGGATCCCGTTCTTTGTGAAGTCTCTCAAATTAACCTCTTCTCATTTTGAAATTGGCTCAGTGGATTAGTCTGGTGTGTGTGCTGGTGTGCTCTCTCGCTCTCTGGCTCCGACTTCTGCCATTGTATTTTTTATCATAAATTTCTTTTAGCCACAGTTTGTGTCTGAGCCATTGTGACTGTACACACTGTCACTTTATTTTTTATTTTTTCACACTATCTCTTTAAATTGGACCTTTGGAAGTCTGACCCTCACTATAAGGTCTGATATATAGAGTACCAGCATTAAAGAAAATTTGTATTAGCATTCTGTTTTTAAAGTAATTTTGAGGGATCCCTGGGTGGCGCAGCGGTTTAGCGCCTGCCTTTGGCCCAGGGCGCGATCCTAGAGACCCGGGATCGAATCCCACATCGGGCTCCCGGTGCATGGAGCCTGCTTCTCCCTCTGCCTGTCTCTGCCTCTCTCTCTCTCTCGCTCACTGTGTGCCTATCATAAATAAATAAAATAAAAAATTACAACACTTAAAAAAAAAATAAAGTAATTTTGACCTTCAACTTATATCGTTTTCGTATTTCTCATTTACCAGACATTTCTTAAATTAAACATATGGTACGTGATAGCATTATTATTATGTATTTTCTCTGTATCCTCGCTTGGTTGGTTATTCTCTGTGCCTGTCTGTGTCCTAATCTCTTAAAAGGACACCAGTCATACTGGATCAGGGCCCACCCATGTGACCCCATTTTACTGTGATCAACTCTTCCAAGGTCCCGAGCCCAAATATAGTCCTGTTATGAGGTACTAGGGGTTGAGACTTAAGCGTACACATTTGAGAGGGTACCATATTTCAGCCCATAACACCTAACAACCTGAGAGCTTACTACTTGCATCTGGCGGCACATTTTAATGAAAAATACAGGACACCCCAGTCAGGTGGGGGAGTGCTTTTGTTTTTTTCCCCCTCCAAAATCAAGATCAATGTGTTGCATGTGTTGTAAATGGCTTAAAGTTGCCTGATTTAGTCCCAGGGTATAAAACTAACATGTGAATTCTTCCCAGCTGTAAAATGTTTGTTTTAAAATTAATAAGATTTTGTGTTCTTTTGGTAGATAGATCAGAGTTCTGCTTGTTTAAAAACAACCACCCAAACCAAACTGGAAATCTTGTCATAGTGGATTGTTAGTAGATGGTTCTTTGTAACAGTACCATGGTATGTGTATTGTTCCTTGTCTACCTCCCTCATGATTCTAGAGGGTTTAGATTTAGGTTTGTATTTGGAGTCAGAAAACGGAACTGGATTAGATATTCTGGATAACTGGAATATGGATGTGAAACCCTAAACTTTTTTATTTTAGGAGGAGTAAGCCCTTCTGTTGCAAAACTTTTAGTTCTAAATAGAAATTTCCCTGCTGAAATTTTAGCTTCTGCACTTGCTGTTGTGTGCTGACAAAGGTTCTGCTCTCCCCTTCTCTTATGTGGGGTTGTAAAGTATTGAGTGTAAACTGAATATATTACATATATTTTTCAGTAAACTGTTTGTAATGGAAGCTGTTTTTCTTGTAGTGCCCTTGCTGCCGGTCCCGAGCCAGCCCAGGCCTGCTGTGGGGCCCCAGAGATTCCCAGTGAGTAGCAGCTGCTCTATTTGCCCTGACAGGGATGTACACGCATTTACTAAGAAATACAAATACAGTAAATATAAGTGGTTCCAACTAAATAGAAGTTTAAAGATTTGTAAATATTGACAATAATTTTTGCAGTGGAAAATGTTAAAAGCTTAAGGTCAGTGGAATTTTGGGAATGGAATTAATTTCTTTTAACTGTAAAATTGTTGAATCAGGATCATCGTACAATGCCTTTCATCTTAAAGAGTATGAATTTTGATTTCATTATTGCCATACATCAAGTGAGAAAGGGCCTTGCTTTGTTACCGTGTGTGTGAATTTGTGTACATGTAGGTATGTGTGTGAAATTTTAGGGAATGATAATGATCTCTCGGGGCCCTGGATGGCTCAGTTGGTTAAGCATCTGCTCTTCATGATCTCAGAGTCCTGGGATGGAGCCCCATGTAAGGCTCTATGCTCAGTGGGGAGTCTGCCTTAGGATTCTCTCTCCCTCTGACCCCCAATCCCCCCAGCTTGCTCATGTGTCCTCACTCAGATAAATCTTAAAAATAAATAGTGAGAGCTCTGCTTTGTTTAAAGGAAACTCCCCCCAAACCTCAAAAATCTTAATGAGCTGTTGGTTTTATAGCTTAAAATGGAAGTTTTCTCTTTAAAATATCTTTAAAAGAAAGCATTCATTCTTCTCCCTCCACACTTTGCTGTATTTTACCTAACATTATCCATTTCTTTCATTTTTTTTTTTTTTAAAGATTTTATTTATTCCTGAGAGACACACAGAGAGAGGCAGAGACACAAGCAGAGGGAGAAGCAGACTCTCAGCAAGGAGTCCAATGTGGGACTTGATCCCAGGATCCCGGGATCATGCCCCGAGCCAAAGGCAGATGCTCAACCGCTGAGTCACTGAGGCATCCCGCTTTATCCGTGTCTTTAACACACTTTTAAAAAAAAAATGTAACTAGAAGAAAAATGTCCATTAAGTAGTTGTATCTGTTTAAATAAATTTTGTTTTGAGGTTTGGGTTAGATTTGTCATTAGTTCTTGGTTTCATTAAATCATTGAGGACATATTCTTTTTACGGTGTTGAAAAAAATGGACCAGACCATAAAATTTTAGTATCATTTGTATGTGAAACAGATAACAGTTGGGACTGGTGTTGGGACTGAATAATCTGATTTCAGGAAATATCTAAAAAACATATTTGACTCTAGCTTTGACATTTAAGTAGATCGTATATTTATATAAGATATTTAACAAAAGGATTTTAATGAAGGCTCTAGGTATAGTCAGATGATATTAAAAAATCAATATTGGATTTAAAGTTCAGAGTATTTTTTTTTTATAAACGTCTTTGATTTGTAGTTCTTTATGAATTAATGGTTTCTTAAACTCATTCTTAATTGTTTTATTCCTTATATTAACTAATTTTTCTTTTAAATAACTTATGAAATTCTGAAAATACTTTTTAAAAATTAGGTGGTATTTGAGTACAGTTCTCTATTCAAAGCACTTGCCATAATAGCTGAGGTTTATTTTTTTATTTTTAGTTTTTTAAAAGAATTTAATATTCATGAGAGAGACAGAGAGAGACGCAGAGACACAGGCATTGGGAGAATCAGGCTCCATGCAGAGAGCCTGACGTGGGACTTGATCCCAGCACTCTGGGATCACGCCCTGAGCCAAAGGCTCAGGCTCAACTGCTGAGCCACCCAGGCGTCCCACCAAGATTTATTAATTGCATAACCCAGTGATAAGCACATGTGATTTTAGTTGTCAGATACATTTCTTCTGGTGAGGTAGTTTAACTGCTAGTAACTATAGGGCAGTAATATTTTAAGTACTTTTTGCTGTTTTTCAGAAATGTGAGCAACTATGTTATAATCAATATTAGAACTTGTTTTTGTGTTTTGTTTGCATTATAGAGATAAAACTTGATGTGATAACCAACTGTAGCTTTTTTTTTTTTTTTTTTAAGATTTTATTTATTCATGAGAGACACACAGAGAGAGGCAGAGACACAGGCAGAGGGAGAAGCAGGCTCCCTGTGGGGAGCCCGATGTGGGACTTGATCCCAGGATCCCGGATCACGACCTGAGCCAAAGGCAGAGCTCAATCACTAAGCCACACAGGTGCCCTCAAACCAACTGTAGTTTAAGAAAAACATAAACCAATGTTGTATGTACTTGATATTTTTATAAAAATGTGTTTATTATAAAATTAGATTGTTAGCAGTTTTCATCTTTTATTTTTCCATTCTGCAAATATAATTGTATCTGATCCTAGAAGAGGCAAACTGCATAGTACTGGAGGATAAGAAGATAATAAGAGGAAATTTCTTTTCTAAATAAAGGTTTATTTATTTGAGAGAGAGCATGAGTGAGGGGAGGGGCAAAGGAAGAGAGTGGGGGAGAGAGAAGCACACTCCCCACTGAGTGCAGAGCCCAACACAGGGCTTCATTGCATGACCTCTGCCAAAATCCAGAGTCGGATGCTTAACCCACTCAGCTACTCAGGGGCCTATCAAAGAATATTTTTTTGAGAAATTGAACTTACTTTTTTAAAAAAGATTTTCTGTTTATGTGATCTCTACACAGAATGTGGGGCTTGAACCTACAGCCCTGAGCCCTGAGAGTAAGAGTCACACACTCTACTCACAGAGTCTGCCAGGTGCCATGAAATTGGACTTTTTTATTTTTTTATTTTTAAAGATTTTATTTATTTATTCATGAGTTAGAGGCAGAGACACAGGCAGAGGGAGTAGCAGGCTCCATGCAGGGAGCCTCATGTGGGACTCGATCCTGGGTCTCCAGGATCACACCCTGGGCTGAAGGCAGCACTAAACCACTGAGCCACCCGGGCTGCCCAAAATTAGACTTATTTTTAAATTATACAGTACTCTGGGGACAATACTGTTGAGCTGCTTTTGGAAAACTTTCTGCAAGGTGTGATGTTTTGTTATTGTTTTTGAGATGGGTGGTATGTAGGGGTGACAGGAAATCGTTGGGCTACACAGTAGTTATGTGTGTGATGCAATAGACATCTTCAGAGATGAAGAGAGACTCTTCAGCTCACTTTATCGGTGGTTAACGTGTGTTGTACCTTTCCGTAAGCCCCAAATACTGGATCTTAGCTGAAGTTATAGAGTACCTCTGGTCTTGAAAGTGCAGTGCTCTACCTATTTCTGTAATTGATCTTCCTTAGAGCAGGTAATTAGATGTGGAATCTATTTTTTTTAAAGATTTTATTTATTTATTCATGAGATGGAATCTATTTTTTAAAAATGCACAAGAGGTGAGGTGCCTGGCTGGCTGTTGGTGGAGTGTGTGACTCTTGATGTAAGGGTTGTGAGTTGGAGCCTCACACTGCATGTAGAGATGACTTAAAAATACATATTTTAAAAAACATACAAGAGGTAGTATGTTTTAAAAAGTCCATTAAAATATTGTTAAGGGGGCAGCCCCGGTGGCGCAGCAGTTTAGCGCCGCCTGCAGCCCAGGGCGTGATGCTGGAGATTTAGGATCGAGTCCCATGTCGGGCTCCCTGCATGGAGCCTGCTTCTCCCTCTGCCTGTGTCTCTGCCTCTCTCTCTCTCTTGCTCTGTGTCTCTCATGAACAAATAAAATATTGTTAAGGGCCCAACCGTGGGCCACCTCCTGTTATTTTACATATACCAGATCTTTTTTGAATAAAATTGTTTTTTTCCCCCTTTTCTACTAGATTAAACTTGGTGTCGGTATAAATACAGTTTTGTGAATGTGTGTTACTCTTTCATGCCAGTGCTTCTGCCTAATGCTAGTCCCAGACCATAAAACAGACCAGCATATTTCAGCAAAGCCAGTTTTGACCAGTGTAAAATTTTAAAAATAGTGTGGGCAGTATTGCTGTATTTCAACAGAACCTCTTGGAGATTTCTTACTGATGGCAGTTTGCCCCGGAGACAGTCTGTTACTTTTGTTAAACTGAATTTTGCTTTGTAAGATCTTTGTAAGATGATCCCCACCCCCGCCACCCCTGCCCCTCAACTGATAAAATGTTCACGTTAGGAAGCCTGACTTCAGAATTATCATGGAGCCTCTTGGAATCAGTAGACTTCTTGGCGCACGGACAGATGTGATTTACACTGATCTGTTGAGCACAGTGAAGGCCACTGTAATCTTGTAGCAAGATCACTGTGTTAATTTGCTGTGTCGTTTATTCAGCCACTATTTATCTGCACTTGCTGTGCACAAGGCCCAGGGCTGGGCCAGCTCTACTGGGCACAGGATGAGTAGGACTCTGTACGGAAATTCATCTGCACACATGGGGTCAGGTCTTTCTAAAACATGAGTGAGCTTGTGAAGCCATCAGCAAGACCACCACCTATCCTAGGAACGGCGACTTCGTAAAGGAGCTTATTAGGTTGGGAAAGACAAGATTGCAGGGAACTTCACTTTGCTCACTAGGTTTCTGTAATTCACATCTGTGTGCCTACAAGTCTCCTGATTCAGACTCCATGATGAATCCTATATAAATGAGTACTGTGGAGGAAAGGGTATATAATTTAGTTTTTTGCTTGTTGTTTTCAATGGTCCAAATGTGAATTTGCTCTGGAGAATTATATCACACTCACTTAACTGTACAAGAATTCAGCTCTACTCATCTGACTGAAGAGTAAAAAGGCAGTCAGAATAAGTACCACTCGATTTCCAAATTTCAAAGGAATTTGTATCCAGTTGGTATTACTGCTACAGTATTCCTGTTCTTCCCCCAGCTTTACATTCTGAAAAGTCCATTTTGTTTGACAATTTTATGAAAATTTGAGAAGTTCTTATTTTAGAACTAATAATATTAGGTGGTAATGCCTCCAAATTTTTAATTAAAAATCAGAGGACTCTAGGCAATCTAATACTAAATCTATTTTTCATAGAATTATTTAAGATTTTTTTTTAAAGATTTTATTTATTCATGAGAGACACACAGAGGCAGAGACAGGCAGAGGGAGAAGCAGGCTCCCTGTGGGGAGC